CTACTTATAATCATAATGAGTAGGCGTGGAGATGATCACTAGATGCAGACTATACGTCCAATTACTGTCTTCGCCAGGACTGCGGATGAGAAGCCGTCATTAGGCAGGAGCCATTTCGCGTGCTAGTCTTGAATTGGGAAAGCAATAGCAATGCCTTTTCACGTCCATATCATTTCACACATCTCCATACAACGCGTCGATTTCATGGGGAGTGTGTCAACCTTTGCATGCCCGCAAGTCATGGAGAAGATATCGTGTGTTTTTGATTGAGTGGAGGAGGACCGGCATGTGGAAACCAGTTAGGCTGTCTGTCGACTTGGGGGTGAGAATAACTAAAACCTGGCGGCGAAAAGGGTGAATTTGGGTTGTTGATGTCTGGGATTAGGTTCAGGCCACGCCGTCGCAAGTTTTCATGCCTCGTGCCCCGCAGACAAGTGGCGTAGCCTCGTTCGCCTGGCCAGCCTGTACCAGGGACCTGCAGACTGAAGCCCAAAAGCCCATTCTGCCTGTTCCCAGTCGTGCACACCCCCGAATGGAGTGTGAACCAATTGAAAATACCCCCCCCCTTGGGTGACATGTACGTAGGCCAGGGCGAGTGCATCTTGAAAAAGAGTAAATGTGCTCTGTTTTTGCTGCCTTTGCAGAGGTGGGGAGTCGAAGAGGTGATTACAGAAAACCGGACAATTTGCGTGTGTTTTGGGGAAAAAATCTGGTATACTCTGTGGGTTGGCTGCTCGCGCCTATTAGTGGTGCATATACCCGAGCTACCGGAGGGAAGTGCATGTTTGGCAAGACAGGAATGACTGAGTGGTCCGACCGGGGGCGTCAAGCATCGGAAGGACAATCTGTACTCTCGTTTAGAGTTGAAAATCTACCGTATCCCCTTAACCACCGGCCACTCATTCCAGCCCGGTCAGGAGACCGGGTCATTGCCCTTCCTCGGGAGGTCGGCAGCGACAACTAGACCGAGCTGGTGCAGAAAATGGTGCTATTTCTGCCCAAAGATCGGCATGTCCTTCACCACCTGTTTGTCCGTTTTAGGCTCCCTTCGTGCGAAGATGAGGGCACGAGAATTCCGC